CCCCCTCCCGAGGCCGCATCCTGCGCAGGGAGCGCTGCGGGTTCCTCCTGGTGCGGAGCTCAGCCGGGGCTTTGCTGCCCTCAGCAGGCTCTGAAGCGAACGGCAACGAGCGCAGCCCCAGGACCTGCCCCGGCCCCGCATCACCATTCCCACCCGGCAGTGGGGAAACAAAACCCTTTTGGGGTTTATTCCCGCACCCCCGGGGCGTCCCGTAGCTCCTTCTGCTCCCAGAGCTCCTTCCATCACTCCCAATGTGTTACACCGGTTTCAGCCAAGGTTTTTGGAATATATATATTTTAATTATTATTAAAGGACACTAGAATTACAATTCCGATGCTCACAATGGCATTACTGAAAGCTGCTGGGCAGAACTGGGGAGCTCTGGGTAGAAAAAAGGCTTGAACTGAAGTCAGTAATAACCTCTTTTTTTCCCCCTTCCCTGTCTCCCAGCCCACACAATTTGCTTGGCTCTCTTTATCTCAATAAGCATTTAAACGGTTTCAAATTAGATCTGTGGAAAATGGAACTTCATTCCTTCAGAACTTCAGCCTGGCCTTTAAAAGCCAGCAATAATGTTTTGGTTTTGTATGAGAGCATCTTTGATCTCAGAGGCTCTCAGCTGCGGGGAGTGCAGCTCAGCACCAGCAGCTCTCTGCCATTGGAACGCAGCTGTAAGGGGGGAGATGCAGGGAGGGGCTCATCTGGGGATGCTCAGCCCTGGTCCTGTGCTCATCCTGAAGCAAATCTGTCTCCTCTGATACCCTCGTTAGGAACCCAGCACCCCCCCCAGTCACAGTAACAGCACAATAGAGCTGGATGAGCTGTCACAGTCCCCTGTGAGCAGCAGGCTGGGGGCTGCAGTGTTAGGAATTGGCAATGATGGGCTGTGATGACCCTGAGCAGCCTCAGCTGTGCTCAGCCTCACTCATGGGCCTGGGGCTCTATTTAAGCTCAGACTGGTAGCATTGCAGGGGGTTTTACTGATGGTTTGGATGCTTGGTTGGAGTTTTCTGTAATCTCTGGTCTGCTGTGCTTGGGGTCCTGGCTGGTGAGACCCTGCCCTACAGCTATGGTGCCCTTGCTGTGCCCCAGTGCAAGGAGTGGGAGAAGGGTAAGTTGGAGGGGCTGTGCATCAGGACAGCTACAGCATGAGGTCAGTTCTTCATGGTGACATCCACATGAGGACCTGGGATACTACCATGTGTCCTCTCCAGAGAAGTTCTCTGACCGTGCATGGGTTTGAGGAGGACATGATAAAAACAGCTGTAGGTAGGGTTGGGTTTAAAACATCCCCTTGTGCAGGGGTGATGGATGCTGCTGGGAAACAGGGCAGTGAGTGGGAAAATTAGGTTTGCCCTAAACCCATCTGAGCCTCAGCTCATGGGAAACCAGGGAGGAGTGAAAAATGCAGCAGTGAGGTGGTGGTTCAGGGAAAGCAAGAGAGATGTTAGCAGGTCTGGCAGCAGCTGGTTTGTAAGGAGAGTTCCGGGGAGAATACTGAAATAAGTCAGTTTGGGGGCTGCCCTCCTGCAAAGGCTGCTCTCAGATGGCTCTCTTCTGCAGGGCTTAATCCTGGGCATGTGCCCACACTGTGCCTGGGGTGTTTCCACCTCATCCACGCACTCACAGCCTGTGCTGTCACTGTGGTCCTGGCTGTGTTGAACCAGGCATGCCACATCCTTCCCTCCTGGTCCTGAGCCAAGGGTCCGGTGGCTTATCACACAAGATGTGTGATGCCTGATGCGTCCTTCTGCCATCTTCCAACCTTCAGGGAAGGTCCCTCTTCTTGCGTTCCCCAGTGCAAGGGTTTTGCTATTCCCAAATAACCCAGTGAAAGAGCCACGAAGTTGCTGGCTGCAGAAGCATCAGTGCTGCATGATTGCTCAGTAAAGATGGGCTGTGGACCTCACCAACCTCACTAGGTGCCACCAGTTGGCAGGAGATGCTCAGTGTGTGCATGGGTGGAGCTTCCATCAGTGCTGTGCTGAGGTGGGGCAGTGCTGGGACAGGCCCTGCAGGCACTAATTAATGGTGCTCAGGTTGGGGCAGGTTTGGCAGAGGTGACTCACCTGCTTGTGACAAGCCTGCTGACATCAGAGCGCTGGCCTCTGAGTTCCCGGAAATCCAAATTAATGATGATGGAAGGAAAAAATCTTGTGTGGGAAAGCCCTGGCAGAGGGAGGTTTGGGCTGAGATGACTTAGTGTATGCCTGGGAGGCTTCTGGGCCCATAGAACTGCACTGCTGATGTCCCCCAGCCTGAGCCTGGGGAAGAGTGTGGGGGCTGTAGAGTGTCTCCACCTCACACTTTTTTGGGGGGCTGCCATCACCCCATTGTTTGCTCTTCTCTCCTTAGGACCCTCATCCTGGGCTGGAGAGTTGGCAGATTTCTTAGTAACATCTTGTCTGTGCAAAATAGTGCAGGGTCCATCCCACAGCTTTTATCATCTAGAAGGGGAATGCGTGGACTGGTTAAATTAATCCTTGCTGGAGGCTGCTAAGAGGTGCTGGGATCTCTCCTGGCAGCTATGGTTACCCTAGATAGCACCACTGGCCCTGCCTCTCTGCTGCAAGTCACCTCCTTAGCGGTCAGCAGTGTGGGATGACTCCTCAGCTGTTTCTGGGAGGGGAATGTGGTGGATTTAGGTGAAAGCTCTGCACCAGGTGAGATGGTGGACTTTGCACAGGAGTGGCTGATAAGCCACTGCCCGTGGTGGGGCAGCAGGAAGGGCAGTAGAGTGCCAAGAGCCTGGGGAAAGCTGAGTGTGATGGTGGTGCGTGCTTTCCCAGCTATTTGGGCTGCCCTGCTGTTACAGGGAAAGAGGAATGAAGAACTGGGTGTTGATGGGAAGGGAGGCATGATGTCAAACATAAGGTCCAGGTGTCTTGCAGCTCAGGTGGTGGTTGGGTATGGCTGGGGATCCCGCTGCTATTGAAGCCACTGCCTGCTCAGGATGGCAAGCATGTGGGTGTTGGTCTGCCTGTAGGGAACACAAATACAAACAGCTTTACAATGAGAAGAGAAATGCAAAATACATACGCAAGTCCAGCCCTAAATTTTAATTGGACTTCTCAGACTGGATCCTGCTGGGGTTGCAGAGCAGGTGAGTGAGTCCTCCTGTCCCCAGAGCTCACAAACAGACTGCAGTCCCCTCTGCCTGAGCTGCGATACTGGCACCGTGGGGAGGGGAGGACAGACATCCCACCTGCTGATTTTCCCCCCCCCTCCAGCCCCACTGTGAGCAACACAGGCTCTTCCAGTGAAGGAGATCAGAAATCCCAGCAGTGACTTTAGAATTATAGTAATAATAATTGATGCCTTGCTGCTCTCTAAGGATTTTCCAGCAAGTTTGCCAGGTGTTGGATAGGTGTTAAGCAATTAAAGCAATAACACCTATGTAATGGGGACAGGTGCCAACTGTGTCATGGGCTTGCAGTGGCTCAGCTGGGGGCTTGCTCTATCCCCTAATTTTCCTTGGCTTTGGGGTGGAATTAAGTGGGAGGAGCTGTTTTAGGGGAGGTAGCCCTGAATTGGCTTTTTCCTGCAGAGGTGGGAATTAACTTATGAAAGAAAAGCAGGCCAAGAGCATCTGGTGTTGCCTATGGATGCTCATCTGGTCCCTAACAAAGAGACATAAATGTCACCATGTGAGCTCAAGGGCTTGCATGTATCTGTGTGCATCTGGGGACAAACGTTAATGCATCAGCCCTGCGTGTGTCTGTATGGGGGAGGCTGCTCCTGCGGATTTCCATCGATACACAAATGCCAGTACGTGGGCTTGCACAGACAAAAACCAGCACAATAACGTGGGGGCTGGAATAATGCTTTATGGGAAGAGACTTGAAGGGCTCAAATTGTTTGGTTTATCAGAGAAATAGAGAGATGTCTTGATTTTTAGTGCCTAAGTGCTATCACAGGGAGAAATTACTCAGCACTAGAGGACTGTTTAATGTCAGGGAAAGGCAGAACAAGAACCAGTGGTTGAAGCAGAAGCCTGCCAAAGTTGGACTAAAAAGCAGGCACGCATGTTAGCAGCGACAGGGATGAGCAGCACAAGTGAACTGCCAAAGCATTTGCCAGGATGTTTTTGTCTCTTAGTGAAGGGTGGCTTTGTCTCTCTGGTGGAGATGCCTCAGCCAAATTATTCTTTGATCGGGCATACAGTATGAGGGTGATCGGATGACATTTATTATGCTGTTACAGCCCCTTGGCTGTTTGTTTTTCCTCTTCTTTGACTGATGCCTGGGGTCCTGGCTCAGGATATGAGTGCTGAATGGTGCAGAGATGGAGCCCAAAGCTGCTTCCTGGCTGCCTCATGGAGCCTCTGAGGGTTGGTGCCTCCTGGCTCTGCTTGGCAGGTTGCTCCCATTGCTCACTGCTCTTCTCCATAACCCCAGGAGTGGGTTTTGAGGCTCTGAGTTTCCCAAGGAGATGCAGATGTGGATTCAGCAGTGGCCAGGGGCTGCTGAAGAGCCCTGAGACATCCAGATCTTAGAGCTTTGTGTGCCAACAGCAGGACATCTAGCTGAAATGCCACCATGTGGCCTTGGGGAAGCTGTCTGCTGGAATGCAGGCACACGCAGAATGGAGATGAGGAGCATGGTTGTGTTTTCATGCTAGCAGAGAAGGAGGGTGTGTGGGAAGTGTGGCAGAGCAATGCTAAACACTGTGTGAACCGATGAGAGGTGTTAGCCCAACACAAAGGAGTAATTGTTGTTGCTGTTACTATCAGGTGACACGCTCTGCTGGCCAGGAAACGGGCAGAGAAGCAGCCAGGTACTGAGCAAGGCAGGGCAAGTGGTTTAGAAAGGTGTATAAACATAATTACGATAAATCATTAATAATGGCTTTTCTATGTAAGTACATGTGCAAAAAAAAAAATAATTGAGTGGTACACACAATATACATATCAGAAATGAGCCCTCCAGGGGTTCTCTCTTGAAATGGAATAGTTTTAGCTCAAAGGAAGCTTAAGAAATGCAATGGCCAATTCCCTGGGTTGTGCCCTTGCTGCGTTCTCTCTTCCTCAGTCACAACAGCCTGATGTTTTGGGATGCTGAGGGCTGCTCCCAGCCAGTTTCCCAGTAGGATGGAAAAGAGGACTGGAAGAGAAAGAGGGATTGTGGAGAAGGCTTCTCATCTCTCTGTAGCAGGAGGAGAGGCCAAAAGAACAGAAGCCATAAGGCCAGGATCGCTCCACCTCCCCAGCAGTTGTGCACCCTGAGGTGATGCAGCACATGACGATGACGTTGCAAGCTACAAATTGGCCCAGAGATAACGTGCTACTGCCTCACCCAGGGGTGCTCACATCAGGAGAGCTGGTGTCAGTCACTGCCAAGCTGGGAAGACGATGGCCTGAAGTGGGGGAAGCTGAGGCATGGTCAGGTGCAGCATCATTGTGCACAGCTGTAGGACAGCAGATAGAGAAGAACAAATGTAAGCCAGAGGAAAATGCCCATGATTTATCCACGAAGCCTTCTGCACACGTACATACATGGGGCTTAGAGCTGATTGCTTTGTGGGCATGCCCTGTGCTTGGCCTCTCTCCCAAGGCTGGGGACAGAACTGTCTGTGCTGTGGGCACAGCTCAGGTGCCAATGGGTGCGGCAGCTTCTTGCTGCATGCTTTATCAAGAAATTTCGTGTTTCTTAATGTTGGTGGAATGTGATGACACATGAAAGGAAAATCTGAATCTAAAGCTGGGATTGACATTTTAATTTTCCTTTTTTTTTTTTTCTTTTTAGACTCTCCCTTTTAATAGTGGGGGAAAAAAGAGGAAGGGAGAAAAGACAGAACGAAGAGGAAGTGAGAATTCCCATCACCAGAACAAAGCCTCCAAAACAACTTTAAGCAAAACAATGGTCCAAAATAGCAGGGAAGGGGATCTTTTGCAGCTTATCAAACATCACTGCCTTTTTTCCACCAGCTCTGAGTCTCAGTGACCCTGCAGGCAATTAGATAACACGGGTGACTCCAGGGCACATGTGGATGAGCAGGGAGGTAGGAATGCAAACATGCATTGAGCAAATCCCTCCTGAACTGAGCGCTGCCGTGCCACGTACAGGGGAATGGCAGGTGCCACGGCACTGCAGGGCTCACATATTGGATTATGCCCATCTCACTATGTTTTATAGATTGCTGAACTGTGGTCTGGGAAAGGATCAGCACTGTGGTGTTGTTGCCGACTGCCTCACAAGAGCTCCTGTGTTTGTTGGGATGCACGGCGCTGTCTTGCAGTGCTGTAGCTGTGCGGCAAGCGCATGGCTGGAGCCAGGATGCCTTTGTTCAGCTCCTAGCACAGGAATCCCTTTAATGCTCTTTATGACCTTGAGCAAGTGACTTCACCATGCTTAAAAATACTTTCCTGCAAACAAAGAGTATAAATCTCAGTGAATCAAGAGAGTTGCAGTAGTGTGTAAGGGGTTTGGTTTCAGCTCAGCAAAGGGCTTTTACAATCATGAGCTGCCACACATCAGTGCTCAGCATCCTGCTGGGATGAGGTGCTGGTGCTGATGGGCACAGACAGGGTAAAGCCACCGAGTGGTCTAACAGTGTGCGGAGCTCTGGATCTTCAAACATTTTCCATGAGGGAAACAGGTTCAGCAAAACCTGATGTAGCGCAGGGTGCTTCTGCTACCCCTCACTTGTTTGTGTTGGTTGGTGTTTTTGTTTTTTTTTTTTTGCTGGCAGTGCCACCTGGGGAGACTGGGAGGGAACTGAGCTGTGGAGGCTGCTGACAGAGGATGCAGGCTCACCTTACAGAAAGACATGAGAGAAAAGTGGCAAAACAAAAGCTAAAAGGGCAGTGCAAGGAGAGCGGTGTATGGAAGCATCTGAGGGTGTGCGCCACAGGAGAAGATGAGCTACTTAAATTGTTGGCACAAGCCCATCAGGGTGTTAGTTTCCTGTGATGATGCACAGGCTGGAAAGGAAAAGTAGCTTTTAAGCAAAGGAGGAGTAAGGGCCTGGAAGAGCTTCTCAGCAGGAGCCCTGTGTGCTGAGAATACACAAACTGTTCTCAGGCAGCACTCAAGCCCCTTTCAGTGGGCTTTTACACTCTGACACCCACCGTAAGGTGACCTGGGAGGCTCCTGCAGCTCGGGCTGGTGTCACTGCAGGGCTGGCCGTCCTGCTGGGCGTGTGCTCTGCGGATAAATGGGTAAACAGCCCTCGTTATACTTATTCATTCTGCCCGTGTACACAACCTGCTTGTCATCAGCCGGGAGGCCTCTCTGGGAGGTGCCTTTCCCCAGCACTGCGTTTGGTGTTTGTTTGCTGTGGAATAAAGAAATAGCTATTCGTTTATTTATTTATTTTTTACGGACTTTTTGAAATGGAATCACGCAGCAGAAGTAATGCTGATGGGGATGTACAGGGAGGGTGATGTGAGGTGCTGTCCTGCTGCTTGCCCCCCAGCTCCCTGGGCTTGCCTCCTAGCCCTGGTCCTGTGCTGTGTGCCTCTATGCTTCTCACTGGACATTTAGAGTAATTGGGGATATAAAAAAATAAAGAGGGGGGAGAAGTGACAGCTGGGCAGGGAGAATTACAGGGAGATCAGATTAGAGGTAGTGCTGGGAGGCAAGATGGAGCCAGGCCTGGGCTGGGTGGCTGGCTCCATCCCTCACAGCCCAACCCCATAGCTGGGTCTTTTCTTTACAGCCTGAGCCTATAGCTGGGTCTTATCCTCATAGCCTGAACACGTAACTGGCTCTGTAACATGCCTGGCCCCATAAGTGACTCCTTTCCCCACAGCCTGGCTTCATAGCTGTGTCTTTCCCTCAGAGCCTGAACCTATTGCTGTGTCCTTCCCTCAGCTGTGTCCCACAACCGGCTCCTTTCCCCAAAGCTGCATCTCTTCTTCACCACCTGACCCCGTAGCTGCGTCTTTCCCTCACAGCCTGAACCTATAGCTGGGTGCTTCCCTCAGTCTGGTCTCATAACCGGCTTCTTTCCCTACGGTCCAGCCCTACAGCTGTGCCTTTCCCTCACAACCACATTCCCCCCTGCACCTCAATCCCTCGCAGTCCTTCCCCATAGTCGCGTTTTTCCCTCACAGCCCGACCCCATAGCTGCGTCCTTCCATCGAACTTGGGTCCCATAGCCGCATCCTTCCCCCACAGCCGGACCCCATCACCGCCTCCTCCTCACGCAGCCACGCTCCCCCTCCCCTCCGCGCCTCTCCGCCCGCCCCTTCCCTCAGGGCCCGCCCCGACCCCAGGCGCGGGCCGGGGCGGGCGGAGGCGGGGCGAGGCGGGGCGGCCCGGCGCGGTGCGGCCGTCGCGGAGCGGCAGGGCAGGTAGTAGCGGAGAGGAGCGGGCCGGCGCGGCCATGGGGAAGGTGCAGCTGTTCGAGATCCGCCTGGGAGAGAGCCGCGTCATCTACAGCCCCGGCGAGCCGCTGGCCGGCACCGTCACCGTGCGGCTGTCGGGCTCGCTGCAGTACCGAGGTGAGCGCGGGGCCTGCCCGGGAACGGGGACGGGGCTCCCCGGGCGGCGGCGCTGCGCGGCCGGAGCGGGGCTCGGGGCTCGGGGCTGGCAGCCGCTCCGCAGCGCTCGGGCCGCGCCGGTCCGGAGCATCCCGCGATCGGCTGCGTTGGGGGGTGTCGCCCCCCCGGGGTGGGCTGCTGGCCCCGGGGCTGCCCTGCTCCGGAGAAGTCGGCGGCGATCGCACGTGTTGTGCTGCGGAAACGCGGACTGCTTTTTTGCTTTCCTTGAGGTTGTCCTGTTCGCTTCTGCCTGTGTGATAAATTACTGGGGGTGAGGATGAGCGAAGAGCTTAAAACGCAGCCTCCCTTCGCCGGGGGTGGCCGTGCTGCCCCGCCGCGGTGCTGCTGCTCCTTTAGCTCCTCTCCCAGCTGCCCACGGCGGCTTTTGGGAGCTTCCTCGGGAGGAAAAGAAGCATCTTGGACAAGCGCAGGCTTGTCGGCTGTTTAACTCCCTCCCGAGAAAAGCGCGTGGGTCTCCTCGTCGGCTGCTCCTTCCAGCGAAGGCAGCGGAGCGCGCTGACCTCCGGCTGGGTGCATCTCTGCGGGCTCAGCTTCCTTTGGTAGCGAGAGGGACAGCACGTGCGTTGAGGCAGAACTTAAGGAGAGCTGTGCCCACTTCTGTTAGAAGTGTTGCGAGTGCCCGTTTTGGGTTGAGGTCACCGGGATGGCAGCTCGCTGTGGCTGGTGCCTGCGCCGGCCCAGATAAGCAGTGTATGTGGGGATGTGGTGCGGCTCCTTGCCGTGTGCCCTCCCTGCTGGGCAGGTCTCACCTTCAGGAGAACGGGAGGAGTGGTGGTTGAAGCATCCTTCTGGGCACAACAGCAGGCATTCTGAGGAGCGGGCAGCTGGACCTGATGGCAGTGAGCTCAGACAGCTTCTGCCACACTGTGCCTTCTGGGCATTGTGGGGTGCATAGCGATAGGACAAGGGGGAATGGTTTTACACTGAGGCAGGGGAGGTTTAGGCTGGATATTAGGAGGAAGTTTTTCAGCCAGAGGGTGGTGAGGCACTGGAACAGGTTGCCCAAGGAGGCTGTGATGCCCCATCCCTGCAGGCATTCGAGGCCAGGCTGGATGTGGCTCTGGGCAGCCTGGTCTGCTGGTTGGCCACCCTGCACATAGCAGGGAGTTGAAACTAGATGATCCTTTTCAACTCAGGCCATTCTATGCTGCAGTTCTGCTGGGGTGTGGGGAGAGGTGGGTGGAAGGTCTGTGGCTTCCCCAGCTTGTGTTCTGTGCTGTGTTAACCCACACCTCCTGTGACCAGGACTAACAAGCAGCTCCCTGGGGAAGGCGTGCGGTGCTTCCCCTTCGCAGGGTCATGCTCATGGCACCCAGGTATGGTGCTTTTTATTTCCTGAACTGGTCTGACGTGTGTAGTTTTTGAGACAGCAAACACAAACAAGCTTGCAGACGATTACTTCACACGGTACCTCGTTTTACGGCTCTTGGAAATTGCCCCTATCAAAGGATGGTCAGTGCAAGCGAACAAAGCTCGCTCTGCCTCGCCAAACATGCTGGAAGTCTTGGGTCATAGGAAAGCTTAACTGGAGACACACCTTTTAGGATCATAAATGCTCCCATCTACACTGGCTTCCTTGCCAGCCCTCTGACTGCAGTAACGGCCGTTCAGTAACACATTGGCCTCGCTGGCTGTGCAGCAGCGTCACAAATGGTGACTCACCTTTTTGTGACCCATGTGGACCCTCTGGGGCCACGTCAGTGGGGCACGTTCACCCTGTGGCCACGCCAGGACGGAGGTCTTCCTCTGAGCCTCGAGGGAGATCGCTAATGGGAGTGCATGTCCCTAATTATTGTGCCTAACTTGCTGGGTAAATCATCAAGCGCCTGTGTACAAAGAATAATTAATCTAACAGGAAGCTGGCACTGGGACAGCTGGGTATAGAGGTAATTTGGGGGAGGTGGGAGAGAAAAGTTCCTCGCAGAGCACGGGCAGCCCTGCTTGCTGGCAGGAGCATGCTGGAACAAAGCTGATGCTGCTCAGGGGTCTGAGCACTTTTCTCACTGTTCTGCAGCATCCAGGGCCATGTGGGTTATTTCAGCCTTGATGCCTATTGCGCCGTGATGCTTCTTGTGGGCAAAAGTGTAACGGTAAAATAACAGCCCTCTCTCCCAGGTCACTGAGAGAAAAGAAACTGAAAGCACTTTCTGGAGCAGATTTCAGCACGGTTTCTCCACTCTGTTATTTAGCTGTCCAGGTTTATGCGATGATGACTTGACTTTCAAATCAGTCCCTTGAACCACAAATCTACAGACAAAAATACTGCTGTCTGCTCGTGCTCTAGAGGTACCCAGGTACATAATTCTCATTTCTGCAGAACCTGGCAATCATCATTTTCTGCTTTAATCTTAACTGTAGTACACGGTTTGACTCCTCATCTGGAAAACTGGGAAATCTGGCAGCAGAGAAGGGGGCTGAAGGCAGATCCCAAGCTGTATGCCCAAACTAAAAGGTCACTTCTGTGTCCCTGGAAGGGTAGCAGGAAGAAATTTGGGTTTGGCAGTGCGTGATATGCCTGTAACCTGTGCCCTGCATGGGGAAAACGGTGACACCTGAGGGTTCTGATAGGCACGATCCTCTTCAAGTTGGACTCTGACACAGGAAAATGTTCCTGCAGAAGGGCTGTGGCTCGGGCTGTTCTGTGAAGCAGTGGCGAAAGGATTCATCCTTTCATGTGTCCATCAGACAGGCAGGAGGGTCCCATGGCTCAGCCCTGCTCTGGGTGCAGCCTGGTGAAGGAGTGTGATGCCAGCAGCACGCAGCTGAATGTGATCTCAGGGATTCTGGAAGGTGGGATACAGCAGTGGCTGACAGTGACACACAGGACTGCTCGTATCGCCCGGCAGCATCGCCCCAGCAGGCTGGATGGCTCCGGCAGCAGTGCCAGTGGATTAACTTTCTTTTCTCATTGTCTGGAGCGAGACAGCAGTGAGCTGTGTGGCCAACCCTGTCTGAGACTGGGGAACAAAAGAGGGATTTTTGCTATCCTGGCTGGCTTGCTGCTGGAGCTCAGCTCCTCTGGAGTCAATAACTAATCACAGGAATGTTGTGTGTCTGTTGTCTCCGCAGCGTGTGCCGCTCTCTGCTTCTCCCCCCGCCCGCGCACCACTTGTGCTCATCTTGAGAAACTGTTTGCTGCTTTCTTTGGCGAGGAGATGCGCTGCAGCCTTCCCTCTTGTTTAACAAAATGAGAGAACAAGTGGAGTGGAGCTCTGTCAGTCTGATTTGCTTCCAAGTGTGACAAACGGGGTGCGATTGCACGTTCTCTCCCTGGAGCGGTGTGGAGCTGGCAGGGCCGTAGCTTGTCTTCTGAGCTGGAGTCAGGTAGGCAGGAGGGACGCTCCCTCGCCAGGAGCAAGAAACACTGGGCTTTCTGTCCCTCTTCCTGAAGCAGCCTCCCATCCCTTGTAGGAACGCTGCAAACCAGCTGGGGGGCTGGGAGAGAAGGACCTTTCCTCCTTCTGCTTAGGGTAGGTGGTCCTGAAACAGCCTGACAAGTGTGCTGAGCTTTTAAGTCTTTATTTGAGGGCTGAGCACTGAGGTGTTGAGTGTGCAGCCTCTAGGCTACTGCTGTGACCTCTGAAGGCAGCAATTCCTGTGGATTTTTTTATTTTTTTGTGCTGCTCTTAAAGTTGTCGCTCTTAATGTCTTGTGTGGAAGTGAAAAGTGCTTCAAGAGGAAGGAAAAGTGTAAAGGACCTGGATGGCTGTGAGCCTTGTGTGCAGGTATGCCTGCATGGCTACAGTCCCCATTTCATGTCTGCTATCTGAAAGTGGAGGTGTTGTAGCTTCAGACCACAGAGGTGGGCAGGTGTCTATCTGCTTGCAATGCCTTTTGAAAAGCAGCTCCACATTCTCCAGCACTCTTTGATGGCTGTTTAAAAACGTGTGGTGTGCTTGTGTCAAGTGTGAACTGCGTGTATTTGTTCAGCTACAAGTAAGCTTGTGAATGGAGGCTTTTTACCAGGGAGTGCTTAGCCCTGGCTGGGTACCACTCTGTCTGGGATCACATATGGCTTTTAGAAGGGTGCTGAGTGCCACATGGTTGAACAGAACAGATGAGCAAACTCCCACAGCACGCTGAGAGTATGGGGGTATCCCAAGGTAAGGACAGACCCTGCTTTCCACCCCCTTGGGAAGATGAGGGTGGCAAATTTGTGCCAGTCTGCCTTTGTTTAGAGAACTAGTTTAAAAATGCCCCGACCTTTGAGCACTTCAGTCTTGATTGAAAACCGGAGTTTATCAGATATCCGCAGCAAAAAGGCTGTTTCCGAAAAACATGAATCATTTCTGGAGTGTTAATGCTTATAACTTCCAGTCCTTTGTTCTTGCTGAAGGAGCCACGTTCTTGATCCAGATGGAGGTGGTGCTGCTGCTGCTTATTCTTCCTCCCTCATTTGTAAGCACTCGCCTTAACCCCAGGTGTCCCCTGCAGTGACACTGGGGTCAGAGTGGCAGCATCTGTGGGGAGGAAGGCTCACTGGGAAGGTTTGACTGTGTGCTTTCTTGATGGAGAGCATCAACACGGGACTGGGTGTCAGGTCTGGAAGGTTAGCACTGTTTGCAGGTGTTCAGCCTGGCTGTGTGCATCATCTTAGAAACCCCTACACCTCCTAGAACAGTAGGGATTTGTTATGAATCTGATGCTCTGCTAATAACAAGAACATAAGTTGCCTTTCCAAACTGATGATTCCGCTATAAATAGAGAATCCAGCTGCTTACATTGAATGGCATCAAAGGAAATCATAGGAGCAGCTCTTATGCAGAACGAAGTGGGTTCTGGCTGCTTTCTCCCAAGTTGCTGGGACTGGGGGAGGAGTATTTCTTGACAGCTGAGATGTGTGAAAGCAGTGCTCGGGAGCTCAGCGTGGTGTGAGAAACCTTCACTGGGGAGCACATGGCTGTGCTCTGCCATGGCTGCCCTGTGCTGTGCATTGCCTCCAGCCAGGGAGCCACGCTGTGTGCATGCAGGGGAATCACTGGTTGACTTTATTGGCTATAAATAAAGCTCTTCAGGAAGCGGCACTTGAAACCTCCCCTGCAGGAGGGGTGAGCTGGCAATGGGATCCTGCCTGGGAGCAGCCAAGCTGAGCCTTGCAGGTCTTAGCATGCTCTGGCTGCTCCTTGAGAGCTGCTGCCTGCAGCTGAGTGGCAGAGAGGTGGGCTGAAGCAGAGCTGTGGCTGCTTGTCCCTTGTTCTGTTGTCTGCTTTCCTTCTAGATGGCTCCAACTGCTCACACCAGGATGCCCAAGCAGCTGTGAACTTGTTTCTTTGGTCCATCTCAGTGGTGCTGTGGGGACAAACTCATTCAGGACACCTGGCTGTGACAATATTGTCTGTGCTGCTGCCTCTCTCTGTGTGGTAGGGGGTGTTAAGCCTCTAAAAGGCCTTTCTATCTATCAGACTGAGTTTGTGACTGCTCTTCTCTTGGTGGAATGAGTCCTGGAGACTCAGTGCCCAGGAGTGTCCTTGAGCACTGGGAGGGGAGGGAGAAGTGTCACCTCCACTTCTCAGAACTGATGCTGTCTGCAGGGCTGGCTGTGGGCCTGGAGCCCTGTGTCTGGCAGTGCTCTGGAAGGCAGCGAGCAGCAATCAAACAGGTTGCCCAGAGAAGTGGTGGTGCCCCATCCTTGGAGACACACAAGGTCGGTCTGGATGTGACTCTGAGCACTGCTGGAGCTGTGGGTGTCCCTGTTCACTGCAGGGAGTTGGACCAGATGGCCTTTAAGTCCCTTCCAACTCAGGTGATTCTATGATTCTGGAGGAGCTGCTTGAGCCACAGCTCCTAGATAAGCGTGCCCATCACCAGCAGAAAGTGGGGTGATTCAGTCCCTCAGCAGAACCTGGCCCAATGCAGCCCTTCTGCTTGGGTGTTTTCTGTGAGCCTGTTGAGCATGAATTTCCTGAACTCTTTGAAGCCTTTATTTAGAAAGAGCCTGAAAAGGGAGTAGGCTCTGGTGAATCAACCTCTTTGTGGTAAGCAGAGAAACCTGATCAGTCGGCTGATTATTTGACATACAGAACCCAGGGGTTGTGGGGGAGGAGGTCACTAAACCTGCCCAGGGAGTGGGAAGAGCAGAGCTCTGGTGGTCACAGGCTGACCGGTGTTCCCAGAACATCAGAGCTCAGCCTCGTTGCTGTGGGTGAATGGCTGGCTTGTTCTGCTGCTGTGCTTCGTGCTGGCAGGAAAGGAACAAGTGTGTTAACAACCAGTTTAAAGGAGTGGTTTGCTACAGTGTGGACCTGACTGGTCTTCAAGCACCTAGAGAATGCCTCCTGGGACCAGCAGTGTGGTTATTGTGGTGGGATTTCTTGCCCAGTTCTTCTGTTTTTAGTGTGTACTGGAATATCCTAACTGCTTTGGCCCAAAGTAGGGCTAAGTGCTGGGTGGAAACCTCTTTCCATTTGGGCAAGCTATAAAAAAAAAGTGGTTCCTCTCCTCATTTTCACACGGCTGTGGTTGGGCTCAGTGCTGGGTGCTGGCGGTCCTGGCAGCGTTCCTGTGCACCAGGTAAAACTGTGCGGGCTCCTCTCTGCTGCACCTCATCCATATGGGACTTGTATTCCCCTCCCATAGGGCTGTTCGGAGGCCCAACCCTGAAGGTGGAGATGCTCTGGCTGTTTA